TAAGTTGGATATAATCTTACTCTTACTAATATTATAAATGCGAAAGTTTAGATGGATGGATGGATGGATGGATGTTTGTTAGAGATTGTAGCCTAAACGGCTGAACGGATTTCGATGAAATTTGGTACAGGTGTGAAGGATAGTCTGGAAGAACACATAGGCACTAACTTTTGTTTTTTTTTAATTCCACGCGGACGGAGTCGCGGGCGAAACCTAGTTTATAATAATTACAAACAAGGCGTGAGAAATGTGGACGGAATCTAAAAACTTAGTGCGCACTGCAAACAACCGCTTCTTATTTGATAACATCGAAACTCACTTCCTTAGAGCAGGCACACACTTTTGACTAAACTATTATACAACAGTTGTGCGATTTTCGATTGCTTCGCAGCCAATTCAACTGTGCAACACAAATAAAAATCGAGTAGTGTGCGCACCTCCGTATAAGCTCATAGGAATCGAAGCGAGACTAAACAGTTGTGCGATAGTTTGGTCAAAGGTGTGCGCGCGCTCAAGTTGGTAACTTTGACACGTTTGTAAACGTGTTGATTTACGAATTTGTATATTAACAAATGTTTGACAAACATCTCTATCAAAAGAATTCGACAAAGCATTTCATCGTATTTAAGTTGTTTTTAGAAAAAAAAAACAGCTATTTACAGACTATACAATTATACTGTTTTTGATAAGAATCTTGCAATTCAAGACAAACACTCACAAATATATTAAACCTATTGTTAGTTGGATCAAATATTAAAAGAATTCAAACCTAATATAGAAGACACCTGTGAAATACATACTTGTTGAACGTGTTGTGCAGGTTGTTAGCCGGCTGGGACAGGTCTATGTTGATTGGACGAGACGCTATAGGCCCTGATGGCTCTGACACGTCCGCAGAAAGCGCCATATCCAAGTCTTCGAGCTGGAAATAAAGTGCTTTTTAATTTTCACAGTCCAAGAAAAGTTGAAATGTTACTGAAACACCTAGAGAAATATTACAACTTTGCGACCTTTCGACGCATTAATTTGAATTAGTTGTCGCCTGCGAGTCTGATCGCGTGAAATTTAAAAAAAAAGCCTGTGTTACTTAGTGATAACGTAGCTTTTTAATGGTGAAAGACTTTTATATCAGTATAGACTAGCTGTCGCCCGCGATTCTGTACGCGCGAAATTAAAAATGAAAGAAAAAAATTAATTGGCCTATCTGCTCTTCTAGGTTGTTCTACATTTGTACCAAATTTCAGCAAAATCTGTAGAGCCGTTCTTAATAAGAAACACCTATCCCTCCATCCATCAAAACTTTCGCATTTATGATATTAGTAAGATAAACGCTGTATGGAATTGTCAGAGTATTTTACAATATTTTCATCCCATTTGTTGAAAAACGTCCATGTTTTCAGATAAAATTCCCAATAAGAAGAGGACACCAAAATTCCTATCACCTTTGATCCTTAATTCTTAGTGCAATCATCTAAAAATATTATCTTTTCCTACAAGATCTATTTTCACTAACGCATACATGTGTTCTAATTTTGTCGCATGACGCAAGACGGGTGAGGAAGTATGATGTGAACGTGTGGGTGATACATTTGTAGTCATATTTACAAACAACGTTATATCAGCTGTTTACATATTTACACACGTTTAGGTTCTAAATAATCTCTTGTAAGGACTGCCTAGACTGTCGAATGACTACGAAGATTTCATCCAATAATATTAACCGATTATCGCTTACCTATACTAATACAATAAAGCGTAAACACACACTACTTCGTGGCGCAGGATGTCAGTAATCACAGCATATTTTTGAAAACGTCTTAAATGGGAGGGCTTCGAAATGAATAGACAAATAGAATAATGATATATAAGAAGAGAAGAAATGATAAAACTCAGACAACCAATCAATTGCTCTAAAGGACCGGTTTTGCATACCGAGACCTCCTAACTGTAATACAAATTACGAAAGAAGTCACCCGAGGCGATTTTTATGTCCCTATGACGCCCCTTTACTGACGTACTGGTTGGTTGCCCTACCTCACTAAAGGTTCTGTTGCTCTGTGATATAACAAACGGATATTTTCCATAAGTATGCGTTATTAAATAATGCATCATATATGTAAAATAAGCTCAAGTGTTTAATTTTTTTTAATGATATGTAAAATAACGCTACATAGAATAGAAACTCTCATGTTTTAATTAACGAAATCAAAACAGGCACGTTCGAGACATCTAGACGTACAATAACATCATTACGTGACGGAGCGAATTGGAATGTGATCAGATCGACGTCGTATCATCTCCCCGCCTTATCCTACTCCTGTAGGAACACACCAGGTTCGTCTATTTACGTCCTTGTTAATCTATCATCCGTCATAACAGTCGTCGCTCCTTTATCGTGAGAATAATCTCGAAGAATACTAAGAGCGTGAACACACCTTTGAGTAAACTATTTTTTTTTAAGGGAACAGCGGACAAACTAGCAGCGGATCGCTTAATTGATCCGACGCCCATGACAACTTGCACGATTGTCGATTGTTTCGCAGCCAATTCTGTTTATGGTACATGCACAACTAAAAATCGAGGTCCGTTCCATATAGCTCATATGTATCCCTACATATAAACCGCGACTAAACGATAGTTTATTCAAAGGTACTATACGACTTACAATAGTAAAATTTTAACAACGAATTAGAGTTTATTTTTAAAACTTTACATTTTTTAAGTTTAATTTCTCACTCGAGTTGTCATCGATACAATTTTAAAATTCGCAAACTGAATCGTATCTATAAAAGATTGGGTATCGTATTGAATAAATAAAGGCAGCCATATACGGATAGTTTAAATTATAAACAGTCGTACTACTGCATATTAGCAAGGACTGCAAACTGCAGCTATGTATATGTCCGGGCATGTGTGGTTACAGTCCGTGTATGGCGTTACCAGAGGTCAAAGACAGCGGTCATTATCTTCGGACAATGGTAAGCTTTCGCACGCTGCGTGCAGTTACCTCGATCAATTAACCCGTAATAACTGTTACAGATTAACTGTTTTATTAGAGATTGTTTTCTTAATCTCATGGCTGTCATCAATTTTACGTCACCTGAATTGTAAAAGATCGGAATTGAACTGAGATAGCGACTAAATTCACTTCTTTTCTGCAACTTCAATTTTAAACATTCGTAGTTTTTACTACTTACGTCATCATCATCTATTTGCCCTTATCCCTTATGGAGGGTCGGCACAATATGTGCTGCTCTTCCATACATCTCTATCAGCCGTCATATCTGAATCCACTACTGGGTAAGAAAAATTGGTAAGAAAACCCATGATCATAGTGCTTGCAACTGTCTCAAAATATCTTTATATTGGTAAGAGCATGCGCAAGCCTATAACTAAATTATAGTACAACTGTTTAGTCTTGATTTGATTCCTATGATCTTGCATAGAGGTGCGCACACTACTCGATTTTTAGTTGTGCAACTAAACAGTTGAATTGACTGCGAAACAATCGACAATCGGACATAGTGCGATAGTTTAGTCAGAGGTGTACGCCCGCTCTAAGAATATGTTTCTTTACGAACGCAATCAACAACTAGTCGCGTATATAAATGCCTGGAAGCGAGATAACTGGCCATTTAGATTACATGTGCATATACAAACAGAAGCTGTAATTCAACACTGGATATAATGCACTGAATGCAGGGATTTAGTTTCGAAATGCGTATTTCCAAGAATAATCTTGTGTTTTTGTAACCGAAACACGTACATATATGTATATACACAAAATACGTATAATGTCAAATCTATACTAATATTATAAAGAGGAAAGATTTTTATTTTTTGTATGTGTTTAAATAACTCCAAAACTACTGGTCCGTTTAAAAAAATTCTTTAACCGTTAAAAAGCTACATTATCCCTGAATAACATAGAATACTTTTTTTTTATTTCACGTGAACGAAGTCGCGAGAAACAGCTTTTCAATAAAAGACACGTTTGTTTCCCTTCCGATTATCATTTAACCATCGAGATAATCGATTGTCTCTGATTAAAATGATACCATTAATAAAACAATACGAAACATAAATTATTGTTTTGAATACCGTATGCCAGCTGTTTATACGTCTCAGAACAATTGATGCAATACAAGTGATAGGTATTGTGTCGAACAAAAGAGTTCTTTCATATAACCTCGTTTACTTAATTCCTAGGAAGAACAATTTACGTTGTTATTTCCATTTACTAAATTAGAGGGCGAAAAGTGTTAGCTTAATCGAATGTTGCTTAAAAAACAAAACACGATCCATTATTTAAAATTTCTATACACATGCTTAAATTACGAATAAGGAACAAATCTAGAAAGAGCGAAACTATCTACAAACCGGAAAGGACTAACCCATTAATTTGTCATCAAACGGGAAGGTTAATCAGACAGTGTTTTTCATTTGTTAAATCTATACTGATATTATAAAGAGGAAACATTTGCATTTTTGCGTGTATTGGAATTACTGAAAATCTACTAGACCGATTTTAATTCTTGCCCCATTATAAAAGTTATGATCACTGAGTAACACAGGTTATGTATTTATTCATCATATCCCCTGCCTTATCCTACACCCGTAGGGTCGGCGCACCGGGTTTTCGCCCTCCAAATAACTATCATCCGTCATCTCAGCCATCACTCCCTTCTTGATCATGTCACCTTTTACGCCATCCATCCATCTCTTTCGTTGTCTACCTCTACCGGTGTACCTCCATATTCATAACTAACGTCCATCTTGTTACATGCGATTCATCCCTTCTCATAACATGCCCATACCACTCTAAGCTTTTACTCCTTATTTTCTCAACCACTGGGGCTACTCTCAAGGCTTTGTATTTATTATTGTTTCCATGCAGACGAAGTCGCGAGGAAAAGCTAGTATTTACCTGGGGATCATCATCTGGGACGAGACTTCTTCTTTTCATAGCGTATTCTTTAATAGCATTACTATTATCGGTATTGATATCCACATTGAAAGTTTTGAGCCTTAACATCGGGCTGATTGGTCCCAAAGGATTATTGTATTTGTTGTATGTGAGGTATTTGTTAACAGACTGTCCGATTGTATTCTGTAAGATAGATGGTGGATTGGAGACAACTTCAACAACACTCTGGATACTCGGCCTTTGTACTCGCTTCTTTGGCTTGACGTACGTTCGAGAATCGAATTTGTGTTTATCTGGTATCGCCACATCGTCGTCTGAAACAAAAAAATAGAACACAATTATTTTATATTAGCTTTTGACCGCGAATTCGTCCACGCAATATTAAGATAAAAAAGTAGCTCATAACATGCCCGTCTATGTCAGTTACCCTTCAGTAAAAGTCCGATCCAGTCCAGCCCTTATGTTACCCGGAACAAACACGACTTGCGGACAGACAGACAAAGAAAATTAATTGCGATTTTCGTTATCAGCAACGCAAATACATCATATTCCCAAAATCTGTAATTTTTCTTTTGATATTACAGACAGTCTGATTTTATAAAGGATCACAGCTTTTTTCATTATCATGAGAAACAATCAGATTCGGCAAAAGAATTGACTTTTTTTTGCTTTACAAATGTCATTGTACCAGGCAAATATAATTGAACTACCTTCACATTTTTATCAATCTAATACCATCGATAGTTGTAGTTACCGGACGGAACTCCTTGTTCAGTAACAAGTTGGACGTGAACGCATCAATGGGACACGACATCGATATAAAAGTGAAAGTAAATATGAACGGAACAAGTTTCGAATGATGATCGTAGGTGCGAATGCGAACGATCGATTTAGCGCGAGCTATGGCATACAATGCACTTGCCAAGACAGGTAATGAAAACAGAACAAGTGTGTAACTGTCGTACTCATAGTTCTGATGGTTAGGGACATTAGGAAAACCTCTTAGTTGTAGACATACTAAATGATTTATGATTTAAATTTTTAGAAAACGACATATTAACATTGGCGTATTGACAATCATTCAGATTTTTCATTCATTCGTTCACATTCCAGAGATATTTTTATTTACAGAAATATGGAAAAATGTTAGACTGTTTCATATTACACACTACAAACATAACCATCATTTACTTTTCAAGAGCTCGTTAAGGCATACATGTTATTTCTAAAGAATTCATTCACAACATCTCGTCGAGGAATCTCTGATGAATTGCCTAGTTCCTCATTCTATTTATACATCTATCTCATTTGAACGTTGATTAAACCAACATTACTGTAATAAGGTCGCATCACATGTCGCTGTATGGAGGTCTGCAATTTCCAACAAATACAAATTGTGGTCTGTACATAGGCTGCCTGGAGTCGATAGTACCTCTATACCGTTATATATACTTATATTATGAATAGAAAATATTTGTATTTTATGTATAGTTAAATTTAACTAATAATTTAAAGAGGAAAGATTTGTATTTTTGTATGTATTGAAATAACTCAAAAACTATTGGGCGAATTTAAAAAATTCTTTCACCATTAGGAAGGAAATTTATCTGTGAATAACAAAGGCTATATTTTGTATTATTTTTTAATTTTACGCGGGCGAAGTCACGAGCAACAGGTAGTAGATAACATATGGAATAACTCAAAAACTACTGCGCTGATTTTTAATTTTTTACAATTAAAAATATACGTTATCGCTGAATAAATTCACTTGGACGAAGTTGTGAGCAAAAGCTAATCTTATTAACAAAAATGGAATCTCAAATGCTCCTTAATTTATATTGCATATGAACGTAATTACGGTAGATGTCTTTATAACAATTACAGTTGGTACATAAACCAATCCAAAATCAATGTTGCCATTTGACACGAATACAAAATCAATGTTATCATATTTTCAACACCTTAAAATCGAGGTAACTCAACTAAAACGAATTAAGCCAACTATGCCATGTCTCGATCCCGTTTAATTTAACGGGACATTTAAAAATAGATTTGGCCGGCTGTTTAGCCTGACATCGGAACTGGTTCAACACGAATAGATCACAGATCACCTGTCAATGTGGACACACATCATGCCTATTCACATATAATGTAACTTCGCTTAACAAAATTATAACTCAGAATTAAGTATTAGTGATTATTCAGACTTAATAGAGATAAAAGTTTAGATTACAATTAAATCAATAGTTTTAAAAGCAAATTCAATCTTCCTAGAAAGTAGTTAACCGCAGGATTGCGGCCAGATCTAGAAAGTAATACCGCAAAAACTAAAACGAAAGATAACTCCTAAATATTTCTTATGTTTTTAACTTTTTATATCAACGACCTTTAAGAAGTAACCCTCTATTTATATGAAGGGAATCGAAACCAGTAATCGACACAGACTGAGAGGTTTCAATCGTTAATGAGATTAGTCGAATGCTGACTTCCAAGTACTTGAATCTTATTGGAAATATTTGCACGTGTAACGTCTCATAAATACAACTGTATTAACCAATACGAGTTCAACCGCCAAGGTTAAGCCACTTGAAGAAACGTGAGGGAAGTCCGAACATTTACTTAAAATATAATTAAAATAATTAATGAATTATAACATTTTGCAGTTTAAACGGAGCTGTAAAGTGCTAAGTCAGAAGAAAACGGTTTTTGTAATAAATATTGCTTTTAACCATTAAAAACCTACGTAATGCGTGTGATAGTGTACTGCCCGTTCTATATAGATCTATAACTCTTTGGCTATATCGAATGATGAGCATCGTTTGACATTTTTAACAAAATTTGGTACAAACAAGATGAATCATAAGGAAGAATGCATTAAATTCCGTTTTGGCTTGTTTCAAGGCAATATGCAACTGTAAATTGGATATTATAAAACACAAATCTGCACATTAAGAAATAATTTATGTATATTCAATTGAAAATGTCGACGCAACAGACCATCTCGGTGGCGGTCAAGGTTTATAAGGCCGGACGTGTGCTCTATTCATTACGTACTAGAGTACAAATTGCAAATTCACTGTAATATTCTCAACCTTATAGCAAAGTCATAAAGTTGCGAATTCTCCGCACTTAATCACATATGATAGTGGTCATAGGCGGAAGGATTATTGCACTTATGTAAATGGAATAGGAATGAAAATTATTTGAACTAAAATCTTGTGTCACTTCGAAGTGGTTGTGAGGCAGTTGACCTAAAGTTTTAAACAGATTGGTTCTCTGAGATGTTATTCAATATCGTGTTTGAATTCAAATAAGTAACGGTGAGATAACGCGCTCCTTGTATTGTCTATGGATTTCTAGCTAGTTAAAGCAACTAATCGTTTGTAATTTTGATACAATGCAAATCTGACTATTTTCAAAATAGTTTTTTTAAAAGTAGCTATTGCTCGCGACTTCGCCTGCGTATAGTTAAGAAAAATAGCCTATATTACTCACTGACAACGTAGCTATTTAATGGTGAAAGATTTTATGTAATCGGCCCAGTAGTTTTTGAGTTATTCTATTACACACAGAAACACAAATATACAAATCTTACCTCTTTATAATATTAGTATAGATATTTTTTTCTGTTAATAATCAAAGTTTATCATCATTTTTTGCTCTTTTAAAAACATATGTAACTTTGTACCTTTTGTATCTAACGTTTTAGAGCAATTTTGCAATCAGTGAGCTATTAAGACAATTTGAGGCCATACAAACCGCAATTACGAGAAACATTTTCACAATTCTTATTTGTACTTGAGGAAACCAACAAACTAAAAATCAAACTACGAAATCGATGAAACCCGGAAACTTGAACGATTATGATAGATGTTACAAGAAATAAAACTATCTATTTAATCATGTTTTAAAACGATTTATCGTATGTTTTAGTAAAAGAGAGATAAATACTTGTTTACATTGAGACGCTATTTATGAAAATAAACATCAAGTTAATCGTTCATTCTCTAAGGAAGTAACATATACTTGTTTATACCTGTATCATTAAATGATTTTTTCTTCCTATAGTTTGTTTTATTTCCTGTCTTTACTATACTATGAATGTAATGTATTCATCATCTTTCTCCTTATCCTACTCCCGTAGGGTCGGCGTAACAGGTTTTTGTCCTCCAAACTATCATACGTCATCTGTCATCACTCCCTTTTTGATCATGTCACCTTTCACGCAATCCATCCATCTCTTTCTACTTCTACCTCTACCGGTGTACCGGTGTACCCCTCAACATTCATAATTAACGTTCTCCTTGTAAAATGCAATTCATCCCTCCTCATAACACGCCTATACCATCCTTTACCTTTTACTCCTTACCTTTACTACTGGGGGCTACTCTCAAACTTCCTATAATATACACATTTCGATACAGTGTAATGTATTGCCAGAGATTGTAAGAATCTGTACCGTTATTTTCTAATAAACATAACATAACCTCGCTTGACTTATTAAATTTTTATTAATTGGAAACCTTTCAAATACAATGCCCTTGCTATAAGTGTCACCTTTTAGCTTAAGAAACATAGTTTATTTAATGAAATGACTGGTTTATATAAGTGGGAAATAACTAATCAGACATTTCGGAATTAATCTATAACGTATATACAGGTAATTGTATTTTATTTACTACTAGCTGTTCCTATGCAACTTCATCCGCATAGAATTATAAAAAAATCATTTTATCAATTGCAAATGTCAAAATAACATGACATGATGTCAAATCATGGCAACTTTGCTTCCTTGATGTTGGCAATACTTTATGGTCTCTTTCCCACATTAGGACTTTAATCCAAAATATTTACCCTTGAGTTTAACGGCGTGAAAATATATAGCCTAAAGCGTGACGTAAGTGTAGGGCTTTTTATTAAAAAAAGAGTTATTCAAAAATATGCTGTAATTGCTGACATCTTAGGCAACAAAGAAGTGTGTTTACGCTTTATTATAATAGTATAGACTAGCTGTTATTAAGATAAAAAAGTAGCCTATAATATGCCCGTCTATGTCAGCTACCCTTTAGTGAAATTCCGGTCGAAACTAGCCAAGCCGTTTCGGAGATTACCCGGAACAAACAGACTCCAATTATATTATATGTATAGATATAATGTGTCGACATGCTATATGTCACGTAACAAGGCAATTAATAGCGATATACATAAGATAGGGTGTAGATAAGCACAATACTCTATTAAAGATATATTTAAATGTACATAATATGCATGAATGTATATATTTGATATAAATATGGTAGAGAACTTTGCGATTTAAATGAGACATGAGGTTTATTTAAATCTCAATTGCGATTTTATCTTGCACATTGTTACTTACGGCGCCATTCACAATATATACATACATTTACACATATATAGAAATTAATTAGGAATCATAAATGAAGAAAATTGCATAAACAATGGAACGGTCGTTGCTCTGCAATATGTACCGATAAACCTAATAAACCATAAAAAAATTATGACAAAAAACTGAATTTAAACCCAAGATTTTTTGACACAAGCGTTTATTCAACGCGCGTTAAAAAAGCGTTGGAAAACAAATGCATTTGAATCTGTTATTAGGCATCGCTTTTTAAACGAGATGCTGTTTTAACTCGCAGTGTAAGTAAGCGCAGAGCTAACGAAACAAGAGTGATCGAAACGAAATATGACTAAAAGGTTTTTTTTTTTAATAAGATATTCTATGTTTTTAATAATCAGTGTAGATGTTAGATAAAACAGTATTAATATCATATTATCTTTAATCGCAATGATGTTTCTGGTTCATGACCTAATTTTTACAAGCAACTTAAATGGCAGATTATTTTTAAAAATTACTTATTGTTTCTGCTCTATGCATTATGATAAATATAAAACAATTACAATAATCTAATTTACAATTTATTTAATTTATAATATAATATAACATTATTTTATTTAACTTAACTTAATCGCCTGACTATCAATACCAAATTTAAATAATTTTTAAAAACAAATCTGTTTTCAATTCACCCTCAAACCACACCCACTATAAGTTGTCAAAGGTAAACATTTAAGAATGGAACAAAGGATTTAGGGATTGTCGCTATGCTTGGCAGATCACAGACAAAGATCTGAATCCTATATACAGTTAGTATACATTGTCATATCTTTGAAACACAACTTAAAATATGTGTGCGACAATGGCACACATGTTTTACAAAACAACTGTTGTAAAATCAGGTTTGACTAATCCTCTTTCCTACATAACTAGAGATATTAACAATGTATCTTTGTAAGACTGGGTGCACAGCATTGATAAAACTATTGAACAACTTTTGTGCGATTGTCGATTGTTTCGCAGCCCATCCAACTGTTTAGTTGCACAACTAAAAATCAAGTATCAAAGTGTGACTAAACAGATGTGTGATAGTTAATTCAAATGTGTGCACTCTAAGTATCATTTACATAAAAGATACATCTTTCATTAACAATCAATTAATATGCCAACATAAATTATATACTCACGTTTATGTATAGCATCCAGCATTGAAAAAAACTTCGTTTTCAATTTCTCATACTCGGGATCCTTTTCATAGAGCCAGTGACATGACAATTTCCATTCGTTTATATCCACTCTTTGGCCGCTATCGCCAGGTACCACATAGAGCCTGCAGACAAATAAAACATTAAGGGTGTGTCCCATCACTGGCTGATAGAAGCTCAGATAGCTTAATGACATCACTGTCAAATAAGGTAACAAAATCTGATATTTTCCTCACATATTTTACATGTTGGATTGTTATCAGACAATTTACTTCATGTAATTATTCTACCCTCCTTGTCTAAGGGGTGAGGGTGCTTTACAGCATCCACAAATAATATTAGATTAGTGAAAATCTTAAAATATGTCATAAATTAAGATTGCTATCTTACTAACATAAATACAAAAGCGTAGATGGATGGGTCTTTGATATTATGTATATCTAGAACAGCTCAATGGATTTTGCTGAAATTTTGTGTAGATTTTGAACATGGTCTCAAGAGCATAGAATAATTATGTTCTTTTTATTCCCTTACAGCAGACAGAGACAACAGCTAGTTTTCAATAAATGGACAGCAATGTATTTATGAAAAAAGCTAGGTGAGTAGTCATTTTTTAACAATAGAAACAAAAGTACTCGATAAGCATGCTTGATAAATTTATTTATTTTATTCATTATTATTACTAATATGGATGAAAGGAAGATGTATACTAACAAATAATTTGACAAACACAAAGGTTGACTTTTACATTATTTTTTTTTTATAACATAAGGTGACAAACAAGCAAGCGGTCACCTGAATCCGCCAAAATAACGAAACGACCACTGCCCATAGACATCCGCGATCGCAGATGTGTTGCCTACCCTTATCCGACAAAGGAGTAGATGCACATAAAGAGGATATTGCCCTATCCTATGCATCTCCTCTGTCAAATCCACTTCCTCTCCCCATCCTCTCCTTATAAGAAAAGGGTGGTAAAGAGAAAGGGACTTAAATTAGGCCTCCGGCACCACACTCATCAGACGAAGCATGGAATTGATTCCGTTTCATGCCTGTCTTCTGTGTGGTTGTGGTATTACACTGGGCGTGCCGGCCCATTCGTGCTAAGATGTTAAAGCAGGCACTACCACTGTTAAAAGTAATAGGAACATTAAAGTACTTTTGAATTTTATATCTTATCTGTAAGATATCCTGACAATAAAGTTTATTTATATACATAATAAATGCATTATGAGTAGACAATACTTATTATAATTACTGAATTAATTTGTATTTGTAAAAATTTAGATATGTTTGTATTAAAGATTTTAACTCCATTAAAGTTAAGAAATGTGCAGGTGAAATACTAAAAAATTAGCCAATACCTAGACTACTTAATAAAAATGTCATATGCTTTGATTAGACATTTTTATTATTTTCTTTGTTTTAATTCTGTATATGTATAGAAACAATTACAAAACTAACATGAGCCATAAATATTGAAAAACATTTGAAAGTATCATCTTATTTTGCAAGCATAAAATTTGATCTATTTTATTACACTTTTAATATAAGTCAACATGACTCATACTTTTAAGATAAAATAATTAAGGTTAGCATTATTGTGAACAAATTGTTCTATGTACTTTTTTCATAGTTCTTGCTTATGATATTATCAATATAACCATTTTGCCATTTTGCAAAAGTTCACTAAATGTTGCATATAGTCTCATATTTACTTATATTTATCTTATAGGAAGTTATTAGAACTAATAACTGTAGTCAAATACAAATTCTGTTATAAATATTGATTAAGAGAACAATTATTTTCAAAAGACACATTAGAGGATTAAAAATATTATAATACATAACATATTGACAAGTTTTAAGACCTACCCTTACCCCCCCTCCTACTATACCTACCTTCTTTACGTAAATATTACGTTATTATTACAGCGTTACTTACCAAGTTTGATCATCAGAAAAATCAAGCGAATCCAAGTCAATGAGATCAGATTCAATCATATCTTTGTTTATATTTTGATCAACTTTATCCATAATTCCAGTGCAAACGAGACATCAAATTGACACTTCACACTAAACACAAATTTCACACATAAACTACATTCACTACAAAACACTACCTATAAATAAATAAGAAAAAGATATATTAAATAAACTAACACAATTTGTCCCAGAGTCCCAGACAAGTTTAGTTTGGAATTTGACATATCACCATAAAGTGTCAAAAATATGACGAAACAACGGTAAAATCCAAAGACAATTTAGTTCTTAACTAAAAAAAATATTGCTAAAAACCATAAACTCTTACTTGTTGAGATTTTACTTTAGTGTGATACAATGGTGATATAAATAGCTATAACCAACTATAATAAACTATATCCTCTTAGCTATAACAATCAAATAAAATGCTATTTTAGTGACCCAGTTATTTGATTTTTATGTAACTACATTTTACAGTTAAGGATTTTAAAGTTCTGGTATACAAATAGGTACAACCTCTTTGTCAATTTGCCATAAACACACCAGCACAGATACAGCTTGACATCGTAAATCGATGCAACGCAAACTTCAAAAAATCGATCTTTATTTCCAAAAACTCGATTCAACCTAACACCATTCAATCTTCTGCTAAACAAATCACTGTAACGATGAAAATAAATATTACGGCAATGACAAAACTCATACTCGTATCTTAGAAGGGTAGTCACAGATTTACGAATTTGTTACTGCCTACGAAAATTACTATAGAAAAACCCCTGCTTTTCATTAATTTAAATAATTATTTACAACAGCTATTACACAGAAAGAGAAAAAATAAGTGCACAAAAACCGATCAATTAACCTGCAGGTGCATAACAATGTTAGTAATATTTTACTAAATTAAGAAATGGTAATTATATTTCTCAAGCTGTCTCGTATGTTAAACACATTCTATTACATTGTTTTAACTATTCGATTTATTTTTCAATATTCCTGTTGTACCATTACATTTAACAAGTTTTATTATTTTTTATAGAACTTGTTATTTTTTTGAAGTCGATTCACCAAATCGATTTTACATCAAAAAATGTTGGCACATCTCTAGTGAGTCACAAAATCCTTCCTTTTCTTGTCTAAGCACACGTCGTGAGCACGTTGTGGTTATATAGTTTATAGCGGAAAAACAAAAATGTCGTCCCATTTAAATTGGATGATAATCAGGAACAACAGCGCCTTCCTGGTGAAGAAGCGTAACATTAAGAAGCCGTTCAGCAAGGAACCGAACAATGTGACTAACCTCAACTCGTACAGATACAATGGATTGATCCACAAAAAAGCAGTAAGTGTGGTTGAGAATCCTGACAGGAAAGGTTTCACAGTCGTGTACAAGAAAGCCAAGGCAACACATAAGCCTGTGAAGAACATTGTGCGTCGTCCATTCAAAGCCGGCGCGAGGCGTTCCTTGTTTAAGGTAAAGAGGCTGCTCAAAGCTAACAACTACCGTACCGACTTGACCACAGCCACACTCCGCCGTGCATCCGCCATCCTTCGCTCTCAAAGGCCCACCAAAGCGAAGAAACCTAAAGCAGCGGCGGCAAAGAGTGAATAATTCATGTATTTAAGCGGACAATAAAAAAATTAAAAGTTTGTATGCTGTATTATTTTAAAATCTATTTCTTTAATTGATTAAACTTCTTGATAATAAATAAGTAATTTCATTGAAATCTTTTTAATGAAAATCTTATTTCATATTTATCCGATGCCTTAACTGTTTAAAATTTACTTTACATTAATTAATCACAAACTTTCAATAGAAAAACATCTAAAATTAAGCAGTGAACAAATGAGGCTATGCACAGGTAAGAAACAATTTGAAAAAAAAAAAGGCCAAGTAAATAAAACAAACATCAATTACCTCGCAAACATTTATTAGTAAAACATTAATGACTGTCAAGAGATAAAACTGGAATGTAAAACATTTCATATAATAATACAAAAAAGCCTCATGCATGATTTCAATTTATCAAACAGCAAAACAACCCCATTTATCTGAAAATACTTGGAACAGTAAAATAACATTTGTCTCATTAAATTCTGTCAATATTTACAACAGAGATATCACAAATAGAAAGTTGAAATAGCAAATTTATTCAAATTTCCAACAGGTCACTGTAACAAGCTTTATTTTTAACACTTTTCTAATAAACAACTATTAAAAGACATGCTTAAAATTTACAAGTGGAACTTTGTGAGTTTTCAAGTGTACACTCAGAGTCATTAATTATACATTACTGGTGACTTAACAACTCTGAGTGCGGTAGTTAAAACACTGTGCATTCACAATTCTATTGCAAAAAGTGTATAAAAAGTACTGTTGCAAAATATTTTGAAGTGTTTTTTTTGCAAATATATTGTGTGTTAACTTATATAGCAACTAAATCAAAAATTTAATGATTTAGTTTGTGGCAAGATTGGACAACTTAATTTATGGTTAATCTGATTTTTTTACAATTTCCGTCACAAGTAAAATACAGGATGTTCAAATATTCTCACTGGTAACATGTGGCATGATTTAATCTATATTTTCCAAACTTTGCTGACTTAAATAATCATTAATTCTGTAAGATGACATGATTAGAACATTTTCAGGTACAAAATACATAAAAGTGAAAACTAAAGGCACAAATATTTAACTTACAGTACAAGGCACAATACCCCAAAAATCTACATTTTAAAAGATGCTTAAATCCATACATTTTCAATTCCGCTGCTTTATTATATATTAACATAGTATTGTTTATAATTTCATTATTTTAAAATAAAACATTACATGTAGTGGTTCTCTTATAACTTGGAGACTCTGAATTTCACGCAAGTTACTGCGCAGAACATATTAGGTAAAGTGAAGAAAAGGCGCAGTGCCATGGGCTGCCAAGATATTTCAAATGAACCATAATTAATTGGCTTTATTTGCAATAAAAGTCAATAATTGCCAGATAAGATGTGACTCTTCTGCCTTGATATCTTCTACTTTATTTTACCATCGCTTCAATATATAGTAAACTTAAACTTTTAAAATGTTGTCAAATAACTTTTTCTTTACATATTTACTGTATTGAGGCATAATAGTATCCCAATATTTACCGAGCTGGAGTAAACCCATTAAAACATTGTGGTATCCATTTTTTCTAAAACTTGCTAGAAACATTTCTAATTACCATACAATTCTATACAAGCTCATTTTAATTTATAGTGACGCTTTAGTTCTTTTAATTTAAATTTATACAAATTTCGTTTAAAATTTCATTTTATCTAACTATTTAGACAAATACCCTATATAGGCACACATTTATTATTCCTATCAGATTGTATATTCTCTTCAGTTTTCTTTGAATGTCTGAATTTTTTCAATCTGTATGACTCGCGTGAAGTGAGTGAAACGCATACGAGACCGAGTAGTAGGACAGGGAAAATATCTTCCACCTGATGAAAGCAAAGTTCAGACAATCATAGAAATTTGAGGAGCATTATAATTCCATGATTTAATCATAACTAGTTTGCTTTGAGACTTAAATTCACAAATAATATGAAATATAAAATAAAACCAGGTGCAGCAAATAGTAAATTTTATGTGAACAAAATTACCTTTAAAATAAATACTTGATGCAGTACTATTCAGTAATTTGACGGATCTTTACCTTGTAAGACAAGATATTTGTAAAAAATACTTGATAATATATGAATTTCAGAGCATTGTCATTCATACATATTTGTTATACATTTTTCTAAGTGCATTGCATTTGCAAAACATTTATCTAATTGGAGACAATTATTAGACCAATATTAAGATTTTTTATTAAAATTGCAGGTAGTCGTAACAATAACCATTTTATGATTTTAATTTTCTCAATATAAAGACATAATTATTATTGTCTCTGATCAATGTGATGCTACATACAATTCTAAAAGGTTTAAAGGCAGTTGTGGGAAAACTTATTTATAACTGTGTTATTGTCAACGTGAAATATAATACTGATCTGGTGTTTACGTAAACTAGTAAATTACATTTATCATCAGCTCATTATTCATCCCCACTTAGGGGTTGAAGCCAACCCTAAGTAGGGTGACTAGGCCATAGTCAAACACACTGGCCGACTGCGGGTTGAAGACTTACAACGACGTAATTAAATAAACTATAAACCACAATCAAATACCAGATCCCAGTTAAGGTGGGAATTTCATATTTTTAAGTACTGTTTTACAATAAAATCTAAATTAATACCTAAATAAATGCTCGTTGTTATAAAACATTCTGCAGCCCTTGTGCCCTAGGTCTAAGGGTTCTAATATAGGCAAATTAGTTTGTTTTCATAATTTATCTTAATTGCCTTAAAATTTGATCCATATAAACAAAAAAACTGTATCAAATGTTGCATTACATGTTTGTGACAATGTAAGCAATTGCTATAACTAAATTATGCTACACAATGACTAGTAAATAATTCCATTAAAATATTGTTACCCTAAAAATTATTTTGTACATAAAATGCGTGTTTCCGCCAAAATATATTAATGGCATTCAAAATTAAAGCACATGGAATGTAAACTAACATTACACATGAAAAATTCTACTATCTACTGACTATGTCTACAAACATCAATTCCTCAACTTTAAGACCTTAACTCTTAAAAAAACATATATTTATACATAATATAAATAAATATACATAAGCAATCTTTCACAAAACATCTATACATAGTTTTGTTTATGACTTTTATGAATAAACAAAATACAAACACAACCATTCATAAGAAGCACCAAAAAATTAAATTTTGTGCGCTTATTTCGTAGAAATGTGATCTAATCTAACATTAACTTATTTTTAATACACCAAGTGACTTATTTAATAGGTAAATAATAATCAATGATCATATTAGTGGGATAAATTCATTTTGTGTTTATAATCAATAATAAAATACAAGACCATATTCAAAAGAGTGGACATAAACAGGTCGAAAAATTATGTTTCAGACTACTGTATTTATTTCTTGAAATATTTAGATAACATGATTTTGTAATCACCAAATTCCAAAAAACTAATTTAATTAGTAATTAATAAATTTATCAGGAATGTTTTGCATCAATCTACTGGAGTCAGCACAATCATATTTTGAATGAAGATATATAACAAATTACAGGAAATAAAATTATATAATTCGCTACGATGCTATTTCCAGTAGCGGACGGCAGTAGTTTTTACAAATTACTAAATACTGATAACTTATAAAATAAAAATTAAGACGAATTTGAAAAAATCCTGCTTATAGGACCAAAAATGATAAAAATGGATTTCGATCATTACTCGATTTTAGTTAAATTCGATTATTCGCACGCCAATTTACTATCAAACGAACTGAGAGCGATGCCAAACGCTTGCAGTGCGCACAATGGATATCTAAAATCCATAGTAAATATGTCTTCTGATATACGACCAAATTGCATGACTACATAATCCGGTTCAGAATCATGAACAATTTGAAAGTTTTTAACACTTGCCTGTGTCACCCTGCCATGGAAGTTTAACACATAGGACTGGGTTTCATCATTCCAAACCGGTGTTTTATTATGAAGGACCACTATATCATCTAAGGTTTGGGTCTTCAGGCGTTCGAGGAGGGTTTCACTGTCGTCTTGTGGAGTTATTGTGACTCTTTGCCGATCTGGTGTCATACCAGGTAGGACCACAGTCATTTTCCGTGGTCCTTTAAAGCCTAGCACATTTGTATCCTAGAATTAGTTAATTTTTAGAGATGGTGTCTGCTTGTCTATTTCATATGATAAAAAATAACTTAAATATCATAGTTACTTACATATACAACAGCTGCTAGTTCCTGCCTGGTGTGAGAATGATCATGTTTTCTCCAAGCTTTACCATTATCATATACTGTGAAGGCAGTACCAAGCAGGTTTGAACGCAGTTTGCCAGCAAAACTGTCCGCCTGACGGGTCAATTCGGTCGGATCAGTGGATATTAGGTAATTCGATGTTGCAGATTTCTTCCGTTTTCGACCTGGTAAAGGTTATTTAGATTATTTATTGAATTTATCTAAAACTAACACAAATTTGGGACAAATGTGAATATCAACACAAAAATACGAAACTCACCAGCTAATAAGAATACTTTCTTGCCATAGTCTTTTTCCAGATGCAAGAAATATGTGGGATAAAGACCTCGATCCATTCCCTTCCTGTCCCTAGCTATTCTACACTTATATAGTGTTCCATGCTTGGCAGGTGTCACTACAAACGTTTCTATTGACCCTTCAACTGAGCCCTCTATTTCTGCGTTCTAAAAATTAAAACAACATTTTAAACAGTAAAAAAAAAAAAGTTTGGCGTCATATGCATAGGTAAGGTAAGGCAAAAGCATTGGTGGCACAGGGGTTAAAGCACTTGGCTTATAATCTACAGGTCTTGGGTACGAATCCCGTCAAGTACCAATGTGATTTTCGAAATTAATATGTTCTTACGGTGAAGGAAAACATAGTGATCCAACTTGCACATATCAACAAAGAAATTCAAACATATGTAAGAAGTCAACCGGCAGTGGGCTAGCATGGTTGACTATGGACTAGTTACCCCTTATTTAGGGTAGGCTCTGAGCCCCTTGATGGGACGTATAGTGAGCTGGTTATGTTGTTTGAGTTACCGGACTAGGTGATCCATCACGTCGTATAGTGCGGCCTTGAAGGGGAGCTACGGCCGCATCCGCACACACATCATCAGTACTGATGTCGCGTCCCATACTGCATACGGGGACACTTTCCCCTTCCTCTTCCCCGCTACCATCATCTCCGATAGTTAGTACTTCTATCTGATTACCTAAATCTGAATGGAATGAACAGAGATATAAAAAAAACACTTTTGTATCTAGTGATTTATCTCAGTCTGTAGATTCTGATAAACCCTTTTTACAATTACACAAAGGACAGAGTACTTTCATATACAAACAAAACTTGCCTCTAAATACTTTTGTACGTGGAACATTAAAGTTAGTCAGAACATACAAAAATTATTGGTTTTCACAAATAAGTAACAATAAAGAAAATTTTGTGCATGTGCATCAGCTATCATCAAATACCTGGACCAAATGCGGCCTTGCAAAAACAATTCTTTTCAAAATTAGAGTACATGAAATTCTAAAATTTGTTTTTAATATATATAGAGACTATATTTTTTAATATAAATAGATTAGTAGTAGATTGTGAACCACCATTTTGATCAGATTATTATGTGAAATATGCAAGGAAATCATACTGCAGCGGTTCTTGCATAACTAGAAAACTGTTATCATTGGTCAGTTAAACAATTGAAAATATGGATAATGAATACTCATTCCCACCAGAATGAATTAAGAACTAACAGCCTTACAAATAAATGCATTACAAAGATAAACTTAGGAATAAACTGAGTAATACTAGCAAATATTAGTACAAATTCTGCTCATACTTAGTTTATAAGTTTAACTTTATACTGCATTTACTTGTAAGGCTGTAAAATTATAGCATACATATATTTAAAGAGATAATAAACATGAATAAAATGTATGGAAACAGATGTAGCATATCAAATAGCTAAAAATATTCAAAATTAAGCTACTATCGGAAAATACATGATACATACCATCAAATGTTGATATTCTATTAGTTTGGAGAGGGATTACTTGGTCTGGATTTACTGGTGACATAAGAAATTGCATCGGACCATCATAGCCTGTCGTAAAAAAAAAAATGATGCGCATAACTAAAACAAACAGCATTGCCACATACATGCAGAAAAATTAAGATCTACATAACAACAATTAATATGAAATTAGTTATTCTTTTTATTATTATAAGCTTACCATGCAGTTCGCGTGACCGGCTGCCTGATATTGGGCGTTTAGCAGAACTCACTCGCAAATCGTTAGCTTGTACCATTCCCGAATTCTGCCTTTTCTGTCTCATTTTTTGTTCCATTAATTGTCTCTGCAACGAACAAAAATCATGAATTGCATTCAAAATATTGAATTAAGCAAATAGCGATTACTTTAAGTAATAAATTAGGACATTTATAAGCTTATCTGACCAAAATTATAAAACTCACTTGCTGCTCGATTTTTTGATCCCGGGTATTAATAGATGCCATTTTAATACAATTACACTGCCAATTTTCTTCTTAAGGTGTAGTAATTAGAATTACCTAATTTATTACGGTATTAAATACAATAATTGGCGAATGTAAGCTCATTTTTTTGTTTATAAATCATCTTGCCTTCCGTTGCCCTAGGAGTACAACAGTGTTGTCGGTTATAAATTTTATGTGTCTAATGGTAACGGATCGATTTTTTTTTTAGTCTTAACATTGTCACTTTAGTTTAAACATAACAAAAAGGAATACATACAATACGAAAGCTTTAATTGATTAAAATTATTCAATAAAATGGCATCTTCATTTAAAATCGTCCTTTATTAGGCAAAAGGGCGAATAGATAACAATTTTAGATAAAAGTACGGTAACACTAAAGTGAAACTGTCATCCTGTTCAATTTTCTTTCATTTTCTTTCAGTAAAAATGGCCCCGACTCGTAGTATAATCGGATTTTTAAGTCCGAAAACTCTTGGTTCTATATTAAGCACCAACATTTCTAAAGCACCATGCCGCCGTTTTTATCATAAGTGCAACAATTGTGATTTTTATACTGGTCCGATAATAACTTCGATTGGAAATAAAAATTCAAAGTGTAAGTTGTACATGCCGCCGTTACATCACCGGGATCAGTTTTCTTACGCTTCAGGGTCTCCTGAAAGAGCTTTACCTGTTGTTCACATTTTGTTTAGAATTTGTAACATGTTACAGTATCTTTACATCATATATTAATTATAACCTCAATCTTTCCACAGATAACTATGTCGGTCCAAAACATCGATTTATTCACACTACAAACACTTTAAATGCTCGTGTCGACTACTACAAAGTTTTAGGAGTTGCTAAAAATTCATCAGCCAAAGATATTAAGAAAGCATATTATCAGCTTGCCAAAAAATATCACCCTGATGCCAATAAATCCGATCCTGAAGCTTCTAAAAAGTTCCAAGAAGTGTCTGAAGCATATGAGGTAATTAATTTATTTACATTTATTTGTCTATTATAAATTATTTATGTTATTATGTTGTGAAGCGGAAAGATTTGTATTTTTGTATGTATTTAATTTATGCAAAAACTATTAGGCCGATTTTAAAAGTTCTTTCACCATTAGAAAAGTTATTTACCATACAAACCAAAGATAACATTTAATAACATTAGTAAGAGACACACACAATATACATAAATAAGATACAAAAGTGTTTATGTTATTTAAGTACCAGTGACAAGGTATTTGATGAAATAAAATTAAAAGATTTCTGTTAAAAAAATTCTAACAAATTCACAGATTCTCTCGGATGAGAACAAACGCAAACAGTATGATACATATGGCACAACTTCAGAGCAAATGGGAATGGGAGGTCCAGGTGGCGCTGATGGATTCACACATCAATGGCAATATAAATCTACAATAGACCCCGAAGAATTGTTCCGGAAAATATTTGGAGATGCAGGCTTTAAAAGCGAGAGTTTCAGTGACTTTGCTGAAAGTCAATTTGGTTTTGGTGCTGCACAAGAGGTACAATCTATATATTTATATTGCAAAAAGGAAATTTGTATGTACTGAATAAACTCAAAAACTACTGAGCCAATTTTAAAAATTCTTTCACCATTAAAAAGCTATGTTATCAGTGTGTATAGGCTATAGTTTTCAATTTTACACAGGCGAAGTTGCAAGCAACGGCTAGTATTTTTAAATAGGATATATCTAAAAGTTTTACATTTCCAGTTTAATGTCATTTTTTAAGGATTAATCTGGTATTAGTTAAAACTTTATTCACCTGTGTTCAGTGATGTTTTACTCATGTGATATATGAACAGAAAAAATCAAATTAGTTTTTTTATGATTAAAAAAAAACTGCACTTTTTTGCTGTCACATGAGTGTAATTTTTTGTTATTGTCCAAGAATACTAAGATACTTTACACAGTATTAATAAGTAATTTTTTTGTAGGTTGTTTTAAATTTACGGTTCACGGAAGCAGCTCGGGGTGTCAATAAGGATGTGAATTTGAATGTAGTGGATGTCTGTCCCAAGTGCAATGGTTCCCGTTGTGAGCTCGGAACTAAAGCAATCAAATGTACTTATTGTAATGGTTCTGGAATGGAGACCTTCTCTAGAGGTATGAATTAAATATCTCTTTGACATTGTTTATTGTTATTATGTATTGTTTGACAAATTTTGATCAAGCTAAACTATTAGAGAGCATCCACACCTTTGATTAAACTATTGCACAACTGTTTTGTCTCGTTCTGTTTTTTATGAGCTTATATTGAACGAACACTACTCGATTTTTAGTTGTGCAACTAATTAGTTGGATTGGCTGTAAAACAATCGACAATCGTACATCATTTGTGCGTTTATTTAGTCAAAGATGTGCACACAATCTTAAAGTTCTATATTACGTTATACTATTATGATTCTTATCTATACTGTTATAATAAAGCGTAAACACACACTTCTTTGTTGCCTAAGATGTCAGCAATTACAGCATATTTTTGAATAATTCTTTTTTAAATAAAAAGCCTTACACTTGTGTCACGCTTTAGGCTATTTTCACGCCAATAAACTTAGAGGGTAAATATTTTGAATAAAATTCCTTATGTGGGAAAGAGACCATAATTGCTGCCAACATTAAGGAAATAAGATAGCCAAGGTTTGTCATGTCATGTCAGTTTGACATTTGCTATTGATAATTTGACAAATGTAAACAATGAAATAAAATTTTCATAATTTCGAGCGGATGAAACCGTACGGGAACAGCTAGTTAATAATATCAGTATGTGAGCCCGATTCAAAAGGCGGTTATTTTAGAAACCGCACAAATAGTGAGAAGGTTCCTGTCTCTGCCCTGACCACTGGTTGCTTGAGTCATCGGATTCCGCAGCCGGTGGTGCTCTATTTTTTATATTTTATTTTATTTTTATATCAAATTTTGTAAAATGTATTATATAGAGAAAAAGAAATATAGATATATGGAATAATTAGTATATGATATATTTTCTATATTTTTAGGTCCATTTGTGATGCGCTCCACTTGTCGACATTGTCATGGTACAAGAATGTTAATTAAATTCCCATGCATTGAATGTGAAGGAAAGGGCCAATCGGTAAGTGTTAATTTAGTCGCTTAGGAGTCACAGAGGGAGATGCTTAGTGTAGAATAAGTATCAGAAATCCACACCAAGCAATTGCCAAAGTGATGTATAAAGCCTGCTACACACTTTCAGTTTTAACTGAGTAGTCGGACTGGACAGTTTCAGTTTTTCTTACATTTTACTGTTATAATCAACTATTTAGCTAAAACTGTATGTAAACTGAAATAAAGCCGACAGTAATTGCTATAAATTACAAGGATGTATCAAAATATAATGTATGTGAAGTGGAAGCAATTCCGCGTTTCGTCTGATGAGTGTGGTGCCGGAGGCCTAATTTTAATCCCTTTCCCTTTCCACCCTTTTCTTAAGAAGAAAGGATGGGAAGGAAAAGTGGATTTGACGCTGGAGGAGATGCATAGGAAGGAAAAATGTCCTCTTTCCATTTCGGTGGATTCAGGTGGCCGCTTGCTTGTTTGTCACCTTATATTATAAAAAAAAATGTAATTTTAGGTGCAACGTAAAAAGATAACAGTTCCAGTGCCAGCGGGTGTAGAGAATGGACAGACAGTTCGTATGGCAGTTGGCAATAATGAGGTGTTTATAACATTTAAAGTGGAAGAATCTACTTACTTCAAGAGAGATGGTGCAGATGTTCACACTGATTGTTCTGTAAGTATTAACTTAAGTGACTCGGAGAAATACTTAAACAAACTGAATACTTTGTATGTTACAATCTGATAGATGTAGAAATTTTAATGGAATTTGGAGTTTAACATGTGAATTTTTAAATGGATGGATGTTAGTATTTGTAGCCTAAACTACTGAATGGATATTGATGATTGTCATAGATGTAGAGGATAGTCTGGAACAGAACCCGCTTACTTTTGTTTTTTTTTTTTAATCCACGCAGACAGAAATGGGGCGTATTACATATTTTATTGCTTGGGTCAGAATTTAGCTTGGTGTGTTGGTTTTTATAGATCGTTTTCGTGTTATTTTGTATTATATTATAAACAAAATCGAACGACGCCCATTAAATCTATTTGGTTTGGTTTTTTTGTTTGGTTAGACAACAGTTTTCGGATTTATTAGATAGTAAATGAAGTACGTATTTTCAGTAAAGAATATTATCAAGTACAGATTATATATTTTACATTGTTCATAGATAAAGTAATAAATCAATTCAATTAAATTTTTATATAAATCATATAAGATATGTTATTCTATGTTTTGTTTGACAGATTTCTGTGGCACAAGCGGTATTAGGCGGCACTGTCAGGATACAAGGCTTATACGAAGATCACACGCTGCAGGTATTTATTAAGAAAAATATATAGAAGTTTTTAAATCATAAAGTTGAAATTTAAGACATTGACTTGAAATCTGCAAGTCTTGGATTCGAATCCCGCTATGTATATTTGTGAAATTTTCATTTACTCTTTCTTATGATGAAGGAAAACATCGTGATGCCTGTATATGTTAAGAAATTTTTAGATATGTGTGTAATCAACCCATAGTGTGCTGTTAATGGCCTAAATGCTAACTTATTGTAGGCTCGGAACCTCTCAGTGGGGATGTACAGGGTGTCCAAGAAGACAATAACTATAGTAGATTCTTTGGTTGTAAATATGACGATTTAAGCCAACTTACCTCTATCCAAAGTTGCTGCATTTATTCACTAGAGGGCTTTGAAGTATACTAATTGTTTTACATTAATTCTTATTTAATATATATTATAATTTTTTTTCTTCTACTATTTTGTAAAACTGCGTGTTCTGTTTTTTAGAAATAATTGAAAACCGGCGCTTCGGTGTACACAGAGCACTTGCCGAATGAATACCTTTTCATTTTTTTTGAATAAACTGATTTCTTTCTTCTTTCTTTCTTAATTCAAATATCTCTAAATTCATGTTGAAACTATAGTTTTTGTTTGTTAAAAACGTCTGTCTCGGCCATCCTGTATTGACCTGGTGATGATTTATGCTGGGTTTCTGAAGTCACCACTTATTTTTTTCACCTAACATTGACCTATGTTTCAACGGAGTAAAACTCAGTTGCGGAGGTCAGAAATGCATTTAATGAATTTATCGAATTTAAAACACTAATCGTTAAATGGAGCTGGGAAACTGGCCATTATTTTTTAATATGTAATGAATGTTTATTGTATAGATAATGCCGGGAACATCGTCTCACAGCACAATTCGCTTGTCACGTAAGGGGATGAAGAGAGTCAGCCAACACGGCTATGGAGATCATTACGTACATATAAAAATACAGGTTTGAAACTCAATATATTACTATCTTAAGTTTAACAACTTTGTTATTTAAGATGTCAGCAGTCATAGCACATTTTCCAATAATTTCTTCTTTAATACAAAGCCCTTCACTTACGACTATATATTTTCATGCTATTACATTTATGGGGTTAGAAAATTGGAAAAATATCTTTTCAAGAACGGGAAACCGACTGCAAAACTTAGAGAACTTAAAGAATCAGTTCCCATGGTTACTTAAATTATCAACCAATAGCTTTCATCGTCATTTGGACATTTGAAAGTTTTACAGAGTATAATCAAAAAAAAAGTTTTTAACAATTACTCATTTTATCAATAAGGTATGTAAAGCCGCACGGAAACAGCTAGTTTAGAAATAATATTGATAATAAATATGCTGTAATTTTGTATTATTTGATATATTCATATTTCCTAATAAAGGTACCTAAAGTGCTGTCAGGGAAACAGAAGGCTTTAATGTGCGCATACGCAGAGTTGGAGGAAGACACGCCGGGACAAGTGCAAGGAGTCTCCTTCGATAGAGATGGTAAGAAAATATAGATACTTAGAAGATTCTGCTATCCGCAAAATAATAGCATTAAAAACATGTTAAAACTGCTTCGCTACAATGCCTAGAATATTGGAGTCTGATTGTATTATTTTTCAAAATTTATTTTACAGAAAATACCAAAAATACCAGTAAAAATGACTCGGAATCTGAAAAGATTCATCATATGAATAAAGATTCAGAATATTCTGGAAGGAAAGAATCTAAATTGTGGACTTTCATAGATAGTTTGTTAGATTCTTGTAGGAATAATCCAGCTTCTTTTGCTGTCGGTTTTCTTATGACTGTATTTTTAATTATTGTGTTTGCGATATCCGATCCTAAAGATAAAATCGGTTTCCAAGAGTATGTAGAAAAAATGCAGGAGAGAAATAGCGGCTTAACCCAAGATATGGATAGACCTTTAGGTTATCAAAATTCATTAAAGAGAAAGAAGGAACAGCCTGAATTATATGAGGCTTGAATTTCTATGTTCAGAAAATATCCTAATATATAGAATGATTCAGTATTGGATTTTAGTTGACAATTTATATTTGAATGGGAGGTTAATATTCTGTTTCTAAACACCTAAACTTTGTAAGTAAAACATACTTTTTACTAATCCTAGTAAAAGTGTATTCAATTTAACCTTTGTAAGTTTGTAATCACAGAATTATTACAGACTTGAGATTGCAGAAAAAGATTTGAGAAACAAAAATTGTATCAAAAGTTTAAAATAATACATTGTTATCTAATGTTCATATAATCTCTTATTTTCACTGAATTTAACTATAAAAGCTATTGTTTACAAAGTTTGGGTCAATATTTGGAACAAATTATAGGAGAGCCCTAAGAGCCTGTCCCACCAAATTGTAAATTGTCTGATTCAACATGTAAAATGTGATGCAAATATCGAATTTTGTTCCCTTATCTGATAGTGACATCATTTTTGAATTATCTGAGACTCTATCAGCCAGTTGTGGGACAGGACCTTAATGCTTTATAACACTTTAACCATTTTTGTTAATTTAATTGTAAATATTTTATTTAAATATGATTATTTATGTTTTAAATGGGATATAGTATGATGGTTGATTTTGTGATATTGTGTATATTTATTTCTTGAATATAAATGTTAAATTAAAATGTCGTTTCATTTAGTCCCGACCTTATCCATCATGCTATACTCCATACCTTTAGTCAAGTTTGATGACGTCATTTCTCTCCTTTAGGTGACAAATTATAAAGAATCAAGCCCCTATTGTAAGTTGTACTATGTACTAAATTTTACAATAGATAGATTTTAGTCATTGAATAGTTTTTTGATTGTAGACAGTAAATTATGTAATATAAGAATTCTAATAAAAAAAAATTAAAGTAATAAAATTCATTTATTATACGAATGGGACTTTATATAGCAGTTTGTAGAATTTAGCCGTATCTTATTTAGGAAAGACAAGTGACGTAGGCAACGCCGGATCAAGAGGAGGGGGGGGTCATGGGGTCATGACCCCCCCTGAACTGGCCGGTTGAAAGTTTGACAAAATATATTTACTTACATATTTTGTCAAGCTCTTGACTTTACCACTACTATGTGACACCCCCCCCCCCCCCTGGCGCCAAAGCTGGATCCGCCCTTGGTCGTAGGTCTAAAATTTCAGAAGTTGCAAAAAAACACTACTGTACAATTTGAAACGTACACAGAACTAGCTTTAGGACTATTAGCGCCCTGGGTGAGATTTATACGACGCCCCCTTTTTACTATGCTTTGGGAAGTAAAGGGGGGCGGTTTAAATGCTGAATATTATGAGTTTATCGCCCTGGGCGTTCGCCCTAACAAGCGTTGCAATGTTCTTTGCTCATTAAAATGCAATACAATTCACAGGTAAAAAAATTTCAATATCGGAGCCACAGGATTTAGTGGATGCTGTTAAAGAAGCTCTTAAAGAAAAGAAGAGCATTGAAGGTTCGTCTCCAACAACTCCAGAAGATGACGACTTGAAAGAATCTAAAAGAAGCAAAGGATAAAAATAAATACTTGGTATAGAGGGATTGTAGTTCAAATTATTTCTCGTATAGTTATGTGTATGGATTTCTTTTTTAATTTGAATTCGTAACATTTTCGTTTCGAATCTGTAATGTCAAATTCCATTTATTTTATTCAGTACTGTGATATGAAGGAAATATTTCGTTGACTTTCGCTAGTAGTCTAGTTACCACGGAATATGGAAGCTGTATATAGCGGTTAACTAGTGTGTAGATATGGAAAATAAATGATTTAATACTGCAATATTGTTTTAATCTTTACTAATATCAAGATTTGTATTTTTGTATGTATTGAATTAACTCAAAAACTACTAGTCCGATTTCAAAAATTCTTTTACTATTAGAAAGCCACGTTATCGCTGAGTAACATAGGCTGTATTTTCAAATACATGTGGACGAAGTCAATCAAGATAACATGTCACTGCAACTATTCGACTGAGTGGTATTACAAAAAAAAATCAAGGAACTTTCTGGGTTACATATCCCATGGCAGTAGATATTGATATTGATATTGTAATGAATCCCACGGGAACCGTAATTATTTTCGGGATAAAAAGTAGCATATGTGTTCTTCCAGAGTATGCTCTACATCTGTGCCGAATTTCAAGGAGATCCGTTCAACCGTTTAGGCTACAAACTCTAACAAACATCCATCTAAACTTTCGAATTTATAATATTAATAAGATTAGTAAGATTGTTTTAGATAATCCATAGATCGATGTCACACATGCGTTAGGCTGCCAACTTTATTATAAGAAAAGATGGCAAACAAGCGTCGAGGACACAGAGGTGGTCAACGATGCCCATAGACATTCGCATAACCAGAGGAACTACAGATGCGTTGCCCACCATTGAGAAAATTTTTTACTTCATGACCAGCGAAAGGGAGGCAGCTGCCACCAAAGAGGCATAAATATTACTAATATTATAAATGCAAAGTTTAAATGGATGGATGTTTGTTAGAGTCTGTAGCCGAAGAGTGGAAATTCACTCGATTAAATAAATGAATTGTGTGTTACTTGGAATAATTCCAGAATAGAAACAGTGAAGAACAAGTTGTGATAAACTAAGTCGTAGAGCGGCCGTAATTGTTTTTGTTTCATAAACTTTTGGCACACAACCTAATTTTGTTTTGGACGTCATGGAGTTCTTTAAAGATTAACTCGAAATAACGCAATCCTTTATCCCGTTTGAACGTAGTTCAAGAAATAGCACCGAGAAAAAAAAAACATACAGAAACTCAGCTATTCAGTTCAATAACTAACTCGAATATTATCAATTCAAATGAGTAACAATTTGAAGGAAGTATAGGTAACCAAACAATTCTCGATGTTATGTTTCAATTCAATAAATATCTTGTTCGGAAGTTTACTTGAACGAACTCATTTCATATCCGTTTATTTACATTTTTAAAGTAAATGTATGAACTAATGTAGATCTTATTAGTATTTTAAATGCGGCAGTTTAGATGGATGGATGTTAGAGTTTACAGACGGCTGAACGGAACTCGATGAAATTTGGTATAAACGTAGAGGTTGGTCTGGAGGAACAGTAGATTACTTATTTTTGTTTTTTTTTTTAACTCTACGAGGAGTCGTGAGCGAAAGCTAGTACCATAAAAGTAGTGACTTAATACAAATTAATAATGCAATACAGTAAAGCAATAGAAACTGCAATTTACGTATATTCCATTAAAAAAAATAATGAGTAAAATAAATGAACATCATGATATGCTTTAAAAGAGACTATTTTAGCTCTAATTTATGATAACGAAAAACATTTTAATTTTTCAACGTTCAAAGGACGCTCCGGTCGACAAATTCTCAACTTTTTTTCATCATTAAATGAACTAGAGGTAGAGCGCAGTTTATGTTCTCTAACATTTTGCTCTCAGCTCGAGTCATTCCACTTCAGATTCTGTGCAGTTTTTAATATAAAATGTCATCTCTATAAGAATGTTTTCAATTTGTTTTTGCGGTTTACTATAGCTTAAATAAATGAACAATTTTTTTAACCTGAAAGTCAAAGTCTAATGTCTATAATAGATCTTTTATAATATACTAGCTGTTCCCGTGCGACTTCATCCGCATATAATTATGAAAAATTTGTTTTCTTGTTTACAAATTATCAATTGCTAATGTCAAAATGACATGACATTATGACAAACCATGGCAACCTCGCTTCCTTGATGTTGGCAGCAACTTATGGTCTCTTTCCCACATTAGGGTTTTCATCCAAAATATTTACCCCCTAAGTTTAATGGCGTGAAATATATAGCCTAAAGCGTGACGTAAGTGTAGGGCTTTTTATTTAAAAAAGGATTATTCAAAAATATGCTGTAATTGCTGACATCTTAGGCAACAAAGAAGTGTGTGTTTACGCTTTATTATAATAGTATAGATTTTAGAAAAAGCAACGATTTAAAACACAAATCTATGCGTTTGAAAACTCTTAACCGCTATCAACCGCAACTACCAGCGCCAAAATAGACACAAAATAAGAATAGCCTGTCACTTTAAGAGGTCAGTGGTTTAAAATAACAACGAATAAAAACATGACATACGTAGACATGTTGTCGTCCCTTTCATTATTTTTGAATAAATAGAGATAACAATATGTTTTTATATACGTGTTTCTGCAGTGGAAACTAATGATAGCATTGGAGCATAACAGGTAAACTCAATAAGCTTGTTTCTCGGTACTCCCTTGATAATTGGAAGCATTGAAATGCATTCGGGTTGACTTTGTCTCGAACAAGTCCGGAATCAATGCAGTGATAGGGGCTGGGGGTTGGGGGCTGGGAGCACTGTAAACAGAGTCCAATCAAGATCCAATCAATGTCGATTCAGTGAAGCAAATATTAATTTGAATCTTATTATTTTGAATTCAAACTATATTCTATTGCAAACAGCGAAGGAAATTTTAATTTTATTTCTCACTTTAAAGTGGAATGACGCCAACAAATCACGAAGGATATTTTTGCATTTATTTTGTTAGAAAGATATTTAATCTAATTTGTTGTTATCAAAGTGGTAACTTTTTTTATCGATTTGGACGAATACGTAACGTTTATGTCGATCTTAGATTTACTAGAACAAAAAATTTGTCGTCGTAATCAATTTAAACCCACTTTCTAAAGTCCATTTGTATAGTTTATACATTCGTTAGCTTTACTGGTTATATTATACTAGCTGTTCCGGTGCGGTTTCATCCGCATGAAATTATGAAAATTTTATTTTATTGTTTACATCTGAAAATGACATGACATGATGACTGCTTCCCTTATGTTGGCAGCAACTTATGGTCTCTTTCCCACATTTGAGTCTTTATCCAAAATATTTACCTCCTAAGTTTAACGTCGTAAAAGTATGTAGCCTAAAGCGTGACGTAAGTGTAGAGCTATTTTTTAAAAAAAGATTTATTCAAAAATATACTGTAATTGTTGACATTTTAGGCAACAAAGAAGTGTGTGTTTACCCTTTATTATATTAGTACAGATTAAGTAAAAATAAACAATTGCTAATTTGAACTCCAATTTAGGTTTGAGATGTTTGTGCAGTAAAAAAGTAAATTAGAGCAGACAAGCGTTATCTTTTATTGCGGCACTGCAGGCTTGTAATGTGCGCTACAAAGGTAAAAGCTGGCTTTATCGTCCCAACGCGTTCATAGCAGCCACATTCGCAAATGTACAACACAACAAATATTTGTTAACATTAAATATTATAGCACTATTATGTAACGGTCTCTACAGGCAACAAGCAACACTAATACACTGATTAAAACAGTACATACTCAGAATCTATTATCAAGATTTTATTTAGAATGAACTGTCGCTCGCAAACTTCGTTAGCGCAAAGGACTATCCGTTACGCCATTTCGACACTGCGAAATTAAAAAAAAAATTAGCCTATGTAAGCTACGCTTCAGTGAAATTTCGCTAGAAATCGGCTCAGCCGTTTCGGAGAGTGTATGGAACAAACGCGTCTTGCGGACAGATAGACAAAAATATTTTAAATGCGATTTTCGTTATCGGCAACGCAAATACATCTTCTCGAAATCTGGAATTATTCTTTTGATATTACAAACTGACACTCAATTTTATTATATGTATGATGTTAAAATGTCTTAAGAAAGTTAGCATAAAAAACCGACTTCCAAACAAAATA